GTGGTAAGAACATTAACTTGCAAGGTTATTGTGATGTGGATTGGACTGGAGATGCAAATGATAGAAGATCCACAACAAGATATGTATGCTTCATTAGAGTAGGAGCCATTTCATGGAATTGCAAGAGACAACCTACCATTGCAAGATCAGTGATGGAGGCAGAATACATGGTAGCAAGACATTGTACAATAGAGGCGTATTGGATAAAGCAACTCTTAGAAGACATTAGTCTAGTGCAATTAGAAGCAACTCTAATTATGTGTGACAATCAAGGATGTCTTGCATTTTCCAAGAATCCAAAACACCACTCAAAGACCAAGCACATTGATGTTCAACATCATTTCATTCGAGAAAAGATTGAAGATGGAATAATAGGTATGAAGTATTGTACTACAAATGACATGCTTGTTGATGTTCTTACAAAGGCATTAGTGAAGAATAAACATCATGACTTGATTCAGAGATTAGGATTAAAAGCATTTTGAATATTAGCAAAGTGGGAGTGTTGAAGATCAGTAAGTACTTGCTTAGTTACAACTACATAGAGATTAAACATAGTATGTTGTTAATAGTAAAAAGATAGCAAAGAGTTAAAATAAGTTATTGTGGTGGCATTAAAGGTTTAGTTAGATGAGGTAGAAATCGATGTAATATCAAAAAGATGGAAATTGCCTCATTGGTGAGCAAACCACCACCTATGAGTAAAGAGTGTTGGAAGTAAGAATCATCTTTCTCCACACTTTTCTTAGACTACAATCCTTGTTGATGCTAAGTGTTTGTAGCTTTTAGACTTCTTTTCTTCAATGAAAATATCTATCAAAGTATCAACAATTTTTTCTTCATCTTTTCAAGTAAGACAATCTCTTAAACTTACAAGAAACAATCACTTGTTTTTTAATCAGTCATTGAAATCAAGTATCAAGTCCTTGCCTACAATCCTTGTAAAAAACTTTACCTAAAATAACTTCTTATAAATTTATTATTAACCTCCTCAATTTCTATCTTGATCAACCACTTCAATCTCAATTTCTATTATACTTATTCTTTCTTTTCTTTCTTCTCTTTCCTTAATACATATCTTCAATGTGATAATGTGAATATCTTGAAACTTTTCAAGAATTATATCTTATACTTTTTTTTAAAGCAAATCAAATTGAACTACTACTTTTTCTAAGAATAAGTGCCAAAGAAAAAGATATCTATTTTTCATATCAAATTTGTATTCCAAATTGAAGATATCATAACCAAGTCTCTTGGCTAAATTCTTTTCAAAAAATATTTCATATATATAGAAATCTAGTCATTTATATATATCGTACAAAGATATAATTATACAAGTATTTTGTCATTGACATGATTGTCTTGTCAAAGACCTTTGATACAATACCAAATTTAAGGTAGGTGTTAAAAATTAACTTTCATATCTTGTAATTACTATTGTATCTTGTAATTGAAACATCATTAAATTCTATACTATATTTCAAATAAAATTAATAATAAAAATCTTTTTGAAATAAATTGATAGATTTTAATCAAAATTAATTGTCTATTTTTATTAGATTTACAAGATTAATGACTTCTTTAGTGATTTTTTTAGTCTACATAATTAAGTGTCACTTTTTTTTAAACTTTTTACTTCATTATAGTAGTATATTAAATATTTTTCTACTTTTTTTAAGATTTATTTAAGCTCATACTTCAAGAGCACACAACAAAATAGAAGTTATTATAGTAGAACATTAATGAAGCTACATTCTTATGGGATGATTTGTGGATTTGTGAATTAATTTATTTCTATAATAATTATGATATCATAGATATTTATATATATTTCAATAATAATCTAGATAATATGAGTAGATAGAAATTGATAAAATTAAAAAAATTAATAATATACTATAAAAAAACTTTTTAGAAGCTTCATAGATATGGCTTTGTCTTTAAACATGTCCATAGATGATTTGTTGGTTGAAAATTTAGCCAACATATTGGTCTTGTGTTGCATATATTAATGACTTATGGTATAAGTTGGACATGTGGCACACATATAGGAAGCTTATCTTGCAAGTTAGGTACATATTGGAGGTCCTATAGAATGTCACTACATAATTCTTAATTAGATAGTATATATAGATATAAGAGTGAGGCCTTCATCACTCTTGTTAATTCCTTTCTTGCTTCTAGTCTAGTTTCAATGGACTCTATTTTTTTTATCTTTTGGAAATAGCTATTTTAGTTTCTTTTAATATATATATATATATATATTTCCTTAAAAAACTTCTTATTTATTTATTTATTTCTATTTATTAAAATTTATTCCTTGATGTGTGCTCAATTACATGTAAAGGTCCAATTAATAAATTATTTAAACCTAAAAATAGATAAAGAAAGAAATCTCTTCAAAATGGTTAATTGTGAGCAAAGAAGGAGTTGAGAGCTATAGAATCATAATGTGGTTCATTATTCTTTTTTTTATATATTTTTCTTTACTTTGTTTTGATGCGGTGCAATAAAAAAATTATATTTATATATGAAATAATTTCAAAAATTAATAGCTCTAGTTTCTAATTTTTATTGATTTTGGTACAATTTTTAATAATTTTGGCATCACCAAATAAACATGATTCTATTATATATATATATATATATATATATATATATATATAATTATTTACTAAGATTTGTAATGTTTTGTTTTTTAAAATAATTAAAATATTACCATAGAACATCATGTTATTTTGAAGAAGTTAGAAGGTAAAATAATATGCTTGAAATATTTTCTAAAATAATATTTAATAAAAAATATTCTAAAAAAGATAATCATGTGAATTTATTGAAATTTTTTGGAAGAAAATATAAAATTGAGACTTTTAAGTAGCTTAAAAATAAAAATATCTACATTATTTCAAAAAGAGTAAAATATAAATTATTTTATTTCATTTCATTTGTCTCATATCCTTATTCTTAGTTCCAAAAAATAAATAAATAAATAAATAAAATTATGTTGTTGTATATATGTATCTATATCTATATAATAAAGAAGCTTAGGTATAAGACAAATATATATATATATATATATATATATATATTTTCATTGGCTATAATCAAACTTACCATTTTTTTTTAAGTACTGATAGGAAGTCCTCCATAACTTGCAAATGGACTTCTAATTTACTTTGTGTAAACAACTTTTCTGTATCTTAAGGTATAAGTTTCTACTCATGTATAAATACTCATATATGTATTCATAGGAGTCTTCATATTTTTTTTTAATATTGAATTTGAATGTCTATACAATTAATTAAACTTGATGTTGGATGTTTATATTCTTATCTTTTAATTATTAGTGATAAGATTCACACAATTTTTTATGAAGCATCTGTTTGTATTTGATATTTATAATATATGCATATTTATAAATATATATATATATATATATATATATATATATATATGACTTTAATTATATGATTGTAACTAAATATACTAAATATTGAATTATATTTTATGCATAATTAATATATTAATCCATTTTTTTATTAATGTATAACTTATTTCTATAAGCATCATCTTATTAAAAGATCTCATGTCAAAAATATCTTTATATTTTGATGACTTAACTATTTTGGTATAATCTTTTATACATAAATATTTTAAAAAAATTATTATGTTATCTTTATTTAAATATTAATCTTATTCTGTAATTTTCAATATTTACAATGAATTTTGTGTATAAACCAAATTATATGACTTTTCTCTTAATTATAGAAGGTAGTTTAATAAATCTATGCATTGACTTATTTTTGAAAATCATAACAAACTGATATCTAAGTAGAATGTCTAAGCTAGATTGATTGATTTTTTTTTTTTTTTTTTTTTTTTGTTATGTGATGTGTTAATGATTTCTAAATTTTAATGTTAACAATCATATATATACATATTTTAAAAATATAAAGAAATAATATATTTATTATTAATTACTATTATTAAAAATGCATTGAACTTTATAATTGATGTATATATATATATATATATTCATATATTCATTCCTTATTGTAGTCAATCTTGTTAAAGTCAACTTCAAGTTATAGTCAACCTATATTGTAGATCCCCACTCACACCATCTACACTTTACTACAATTTGCAGTCAACTACTCTATATAATTGACAATTTCTTAGGTCCCAAGAGGTTGACTATAAAAAGAGCTAATTGTATATGTATTTCATAGATATATCATTGATTTAATTAAATGGATTCTTTTCAATTTTTAAATAATAATATTAAATAAACATAATTTAGAAATAATGGTATCAATATTTTCATTCATCCAAATATTTACAAATTCAATAATGTATAATTAATCTATAAGACATTACTTATTAAATGTATGGTTTGCATTTTTTTCCTTTTTTGATCTTATTTATTGAAAAATCTAATTCAAATAATCAATTATTGTATGATGATGAGGATATAACAGTTTAAATATAGATAAATTGTCTAAGTTGTGCAAATTTGTTGTTTAGAAGTTTTAATGGATATTATTCATTTATCATTATTTTTTATTTCCAACGTGGCATTTTTTTTACACGTTTGAGAACTCCTTGAATCCTGTTTCCAGTAGTCACAACTTACATTAAATAGTTGAAATGCAGAGCACGTGACATGAAATGAGGGTTGGAGTGTCGAATTGTGTATTTGTGTGGTTTCCTTTTCCTTTGCTTCGTGTTGTCTTTGTTTCTAGAATGTTTGGTGACCGATGCCAGTCTGTAAGAAAGCAACATTGCCGCATTGACACACGCGCAACGTCTAAGTAGAGAATGGAGGGGAGGGGGAGGACCAGAGAGAGGAGAAGCCTCCGTGGTGGTGGATGATGGATGGATGACCTCGTGGATGGAGCAGGCAGTCAGTCATTCAATCAGCCAGTCAAGGCACAATTTATGGGACCCCCCAAGTCCCCTTGGAGTGATAAAGGGGAGAGTCTAGGGGGGAGAGTCTTGGTGTTTGACTGATGCCTAGCTTGAATCCAACAGTGTGGAGGGGAAGGGTCTTCATCATTCGGCCCTCTGCCCTCCAACCTCCCTTCCAGAAGCCCCTCCCCTCACAGCTGCCCGCAATTTCCACGCCTTTTTCCACAATCTCAACGCCTTTCCTTGCCAAAGGTACTCACTCTCTCTGTGCTTGGCTGTGTCACCTGACGCAAAGACTTTCTCTGTTTCTCGTTTCGTAGCCCTCTCCTCTCTCTCTCCCTCTTTACTTACTTCCTTAATTTGGCGGACGGGCAATGCTTGTTCGTACGTCAACGTTACACAAGAGCTGAGTGTGGAGTGCGTATCTATATACATATACACACACACATTTGTGTGTGTGTGTGTGTGTACATGCGTCAAGGCTCTCGATTACCTGCTTGTTTAGGAGATGCATGGCCGATATAGATCGTTAGCAATGGAGTACAGGCCAATAGTTCTGCTAGGGAATGTGTAGGTCATCTGCTTGAAGTTCTCGTGCGTTACTCAAGTCAAACGAGTGGTGGGTTTGAGCAATTCGGCTTAAATTGCGTTTTTGATTTGAGCCATCGTCACGTTCAAGAGTTCTTTCGTATTGGGGTTAGGCCTGGAAGAGGCTGTGTGAAAATCCTAAGGGATTGGCGCAGGTGATTATCACAATGGCGATGCAGGGTAGAGCGAAAATTGAAGTTGGTGGCAGGGTTTTTGTGACCACGATGCAAACTGTGGAGAAGGCAGGAAAAGATTCTCACCTGTACAAGACAGTCAGTCAAAGCGGGCAAGGTTGGTTTGATCGGGACCCCGACATGTTCAACATATTGCTCAACATGCTAAGAACTGGAGTTGTTTATCCGAAACCTGAGAGCTTAGGTTTCTTAGACAGATTGATTGAAGAGGCCACGTTCTATGGAATTGAAGAGTGTCTTCGGAATGCGCATGGTCGTGCTCCGTTGAATGGAATTGATGCTGAGAAGGCGAAGCCGATTATTCCCAGTGGCATCGACATTCCTGGAGCACTGGCAGCAGGACCAGATGGCTCCGTCTGGATTGGCCACGGAAGTAAAATTACTGTCTACGACTGGGCGCTTCGCAAAAAGAAGACCACACTTACGGAGTTCGGTTCTATAGATATTATGCACCGCATTTCGGATGATTTGGTTGCAGGTGGTGAGAAAGATTTACCAGGCCTTCATTTATATGATGTGACGCAGGGCATTCACGCGAAGACCGTGATGTGGACGGATGCCAACGATCCTAGGGTTTACAACGCCGTCGTGCAAGCGATTGCATCAAATGCTTCGTCAGTGTTTGCTAGTTTCGAAAATGGGCAAAAACTTGACAACACTCTGCTTGTCGTGGACAAGGCAACTTCGCAGGTTAGCCGAGAATTTGGAAGGCAGAATGGCCAGGCTGCACACACGAAAGCGGCGACCAAGCTTCAGTGGTTAGAATCGAAGAATCTCCTTTTCGTCGGGTCTGTGCAAGGGGGTTCTTTCGGATTCAGTGGATACATGAGGCTGTGGGACTTGCGGGCGGACAAAATAGTTTGGGATTGGAAGGAGCCTAATTTCCAAAGAGCTTCACGAGGCTTCGAGCAGCAAGACGTGTTCGCAGACATGGTCGTGGATGAAGAGCTAGGATCCATTTTTAAGGTAGGCGTCCAGTCTGGTGCGCTCTACTTAGCGGATCTGCGCATCCTCGACACACAAAATCCTTGGTTGGAGCTGGAGGAACTAAATCATTTCTCTGACAAAGCAGTCACTGGTGCGAACAAGAAGCTCATCTCATACAACAAGCAGGTTTGGTTATCCCAAGGAGCGGATGTTGAGGTCTGGTCTGAGGTGCCCTTGGCAGAGAGTTTTAGGCCGAAGGAAGAAAAAGAGTTTTCGGAGTCGTCGTTTCGTAGGAATCGCCTCGAGCACCGTCGTCACCCTGGCCAGGAGATTACTCAGATGGTGGCCGGAGGAGGCCGACTTTTCATTACGCGCAAAGATTTTCAGGGGGTTGAGGTCTGGGAGAGTCATTGATAGCGATTAGCACATCTTTTTCGGCTTTGTTGCATCGGTTCCTGCCTATTCCATGGTTGTCTGTTTTCAGGCTACCTCTCCAACATCATAAACCACCTATCAAACAAGCACAGGTTCCAGTCTATCTCCTTTCTTTCTTTTCAGTCAACTTCTTGCAGAATTGTTCGACGGCAGGTCAAGATCGATGGCGAGTTGGAACCCCAAGATGACGTGTTGGAAAGGCGACCAAGCTCGGCAATTACTTGTATAAGCCATGAATCTGGGCTTGTGGTTATTGAAATTTGTTTCCTGATTGTGATCACAAGTTCATTAAGGTGCACATTATCGACGAGGACGGCATGTACTGTAGCAGACTGTAGCAGAACTTAACTCTTAGCAGATACAGGTTGTATTCAATTCTGTACCATTTGTAACCATGCCTCAAAATTTTCCCACTTCCTGCAATATATATTACGTAGTATGTTACTGCACGCACACTTTCCACGTCTTTTCACAAAATGTTCATGCCTTTCATCTCGGTTGTCTTGCAAGTACCCTATGGTGGATTTTTGCATGAAAAGGAAGTTCAAAATACCAAACAGGATTGTGAAACAACTGATGATCATCGTCATTTATTGTAATAACAAGGAATGTGTCAACATATGTTTCTCTCTAATAGATACACAAAATTTACTAATCAACATATGTATATATCTATATATATATACATTAATAGAAAGAAAGTACATAAATACATAACTCAAGTATCAAAAGATAGCAAAAATCTAAGAATCCTTAGAGTGAGCAACCATATTCAATCTACAATGCCAAACCTAAAATCTATCTCATAATCACTCACTTAGAAATCAAAAAATTACTCATGAATTAAATTAGGTCACAAGATGTAGGTACCCTATATAAAAGTCAAATCCCACTTGCTCATAAGTTTTATATATAATCTATTGATTCAAGTACTTTCTTTTTTATAAATAACTATAAATATAATTATTCTTTATGTATCTTATTTTGCATCAACAAAATGGACTAGGACATGTATATAGTAAGAAGAAATATAGTTCAATTTTTTTTAGATTTTATCAAAAAAAATGACTAGTAAATTTAAAAAATACATGTTTTTAGATCACTTGTAACTTAAAAAAATCAAAGAGCTGTCTTGATCATGCTTATCTTTAATCAGAAATATTATACAAACATTACTATGTTATTAACTACAATTATTAATTATAACTTTGGTAAACAATCTTTGATCATTCATTTTTTTTAGCAATTAAGATTATTGACAAAAATCTGTTAGTTCTATTTTCATGTGATTAAAGCAAAACTTGTAGAAAAACATAAAAAAATATATTAAAGAATATATAAAATAATCTTTATTTAGTTTTATTCTATTTTTATTATCTTACAATTCTTATAAAATTTTGGTCTTAGGTTTTAATAAATAAAAATGACAAGTAGTGCAAATCCTTCCTAGCATACTTGCAAGATTTTTATTATGCTTTTTTTCAAATAGATAGTAATTGAAGAACCTAAGTGATTTTTGAGAGAAACTTTTGCTAATTATAATGGTCCTTTGATTTCTTTTTATGTTTGAAACTACAAAAATTAGCTTTAAATAAGTTCTTAAGACTTTGAATTTAAAATGTCTTAATGTTATGAAGTCTTGTTGCACTAAAGTATAAGTAGGCATGTTAGATCTTTTGAAACAAAAATGCAACTTTTAGAATAAAAAATATTGTCTTTGAGTCTATGATTATTTATATCAATAAATAGATTTTTTAAAATTTAAAAGGAAGATATTTTTTTGGTGTACTTAAACAAATTTTATTAAAAAACATTTATTAAAAAAGAACTAACAGCTTACAACTCAAAGATTTAATTGCTATTTTTTTTCAAAATTATTTGTTATTAAAAATAAATTACTTTTCTTTCTGTTTTGTGTAAGATAAAATTATTAAAATTAGGTGCTTTGATAAATTATGTTATAAAACTTAGAAAATATATCATATTAAATGTCAATTGTGATAAATGTATGTTCTAAGAGATTTGAGAAAATGTACTAGTATAAAATATATAAGGTTCTTATAATCAACATAAAATATGATTGTATTAAAAACAACCTTTTCAATCAATATCATTATTTAAAAATAATTTTATAATTGCAAGTAGTTTATTATTATAAATCTTATATGTAATATTGATAAAACTTAATTTTTGTTATATTCCTTATTAAAAATAAATAATTCTATTCTACAAAAAATAATAATTTATCTAATACAAAATTTGGTACATTTTTATGTGTAATTTTTTTAATTATTTTTTTATAAAAATAAATAATAATAATAATAATTATAATATAATATCAAATTTTTTTTTTAGAACTCAAAATTTTGCTATATCATATTTTTTTATACTATTTTTTGTCTTTTGAAATCATATAAAAAATCTAAGCAATAAATCAAGATAATTTTTAAATAGTTTTTTAAAAAATTAGAAATCTTTTGTAATTCAAATTTTCTATTTAAAGATGGTTTATTTATCTTAAAAATTCATCTTAAGTCCATTATTTAAAATTATATCTTCTAAAATGTCTACTTAAGTTGTATAAATAACACATTTTTTTTTATCTTAATATATAATTTAGTATTTTTAATTTTAATATTTATTTATTTATTTATTTATTTTTTGTATCAATTTCTGATTATTGATATTGATATGGATTTTTAAAAATAAAAGACATTTCATCTAATATTTTACAATAGAATTTTTTATTTTTGTTACTTTAAAAACAAATATACAAGTCCAAAAAGCATGACATTATATTCAAAATATTTACACCTGTTTCAAATTTTTGTGGGATAAAAAAGCATCTTTTAGCAATTAGTGTAACCTAAATTTTATATAAATCAAGTTCTAAATTTTTAAAAACTTAAAATTTTATTATCACTTATAATATTAAATTATTAATTACTGAATTGATGGAAAAAGATATATATATATATATATATATAAAGTTAAGAATTCAAATACAATACAATCAACATTGAATATACTTGCATTGCTTGTACAGTCTCTAAATGGTCATTTTTTTAACATACTATTCTATCTATTTTTTTTTTTAAATAATATTTTTCTATCTTTTCTTTTTTCTTTTTGATCATTTTACTTATATATTTTTATCTCCTTTGTACTTATAGTAAGCCTTTATAAACTTCCAATTGCACTATTACCTAACTCAACATATGTAGACACTATCCTTACACAAAAAATACACACTTGTTTGAATAAATTCAATTTTAAAATATCAAAATTATTCGTTTTTATTTGCCCTTTTTACCTTGAGCTTCATCTTTCCTCTCTATTCAAGCTTTTTGCTGCCATCTTGGTCATTCTTTATAATTTCTGATAACCAGATGGAAATAATATCCAATTCTTAATTACCCATGTGACCATGCACTGATATCTGTTTATGACCAGGTTAGGACACCTTCGAGTATTTTGTTTGATGTTTTTTTGATGCTTTGATTCCAAAGTTTTAGCATATTCTAACTAAAATCCTTTTGATATCCTAATTTTAATTCCTTGTTCCTTCTTTGTAGGTATGTTTTTATTTATTTATTATTTGATACCATGTTGATATTATTATTTATATATTTTTTTAAAAAATTAATCATTTTAAATTTCTTTTTTATTTATTGGAGTTTTAACCATTTTTTAAAAATAATTTAATTAATTTTCACGTAAATTACAAAAATAAGTCTAACTTTCTTTTAAAAATAAAACCACTTAGTATGTTAATAAGATGTCATTTTCTTGATTTCTTATACATTAAAACTATTTATGATATAATAACATAATCTTTTGATCACCTCTTCTTTTAATGATTATTAGATTATATGTTTTTCTCTCATATATATATATACTTTAGTTTATATATTAGCTTAATTTAATTTATTACAAAATAAAAAAATAATTAAAATTTGTTGACTGTAAAATAATCTATGTACATCTATAATGATCTTTATTTATTTTTTGTTTTTTCAAAGTTAATAAACTTGTATAAGTTTATAAAATCTAAATGAGATTCTTTATAAAATTCTTATCAATTTATTTTTAGATAGAAATTAATTTATTTTAATGAAATATTATAAATTAATCTTTAATTTTTTTAACATCTTTTTTGAATACAGATTGCACTATCATAGAGACATTATGAAAGAATATATGTATGTTTTTGTTGAAAATTTCTTATTCAACCTTCTATTACTTTAGAATTTTGTTGATATTTTTATTAAAATAAGAATTGAATGCTATATATATATATATATATATATATATATATATATAATTTAATAATAAATAAAAAAATATTGTTTTAACATTTTTTTTCTTTTTTTAAAGTTCAAAAAAATATTTTTTTTATATAGAAAATTATGAATAACTTCAAAACTATACAATGTATACATTATATGGTTAAAAATTTATTTAGAATATAATTATTTCAAAGTAATAAAAGTAGTTTATTATTATTTATTACTATATTCTAAAAGCATACAAAAATAATTATATTTTTATAGGTTCTATAAATAATACTTCTAAAATAATTTTTTTTGCTTGCATATGATTCTTTCATGTGCTAATTTAAATTTTCATAAGAAACATATTTCATTGTTTTTAACAAACAAATTCAAAAGAAAAAAATATTCTTTTATGTGATTTTTCTATAAAAAAATTCTATTCTATTTAAAATTGATAATAGTTTGTAAAATTAAAAAGCATATACAAATACATGTATATTAGAGAAATAAGGAAAAAAATTAAATAATTAAATGAAAAAAGTGGCATCTTGAAGATAGTATTCATTTAAAAGAAGATAATTTGTATTTTTAAATTGCTTTAATAATTTTAAACAACGAAATGATTCACTATTTTTCAAGATTAATTTTACTTTGATATTACATTTAAAGTCTTGTTAAAATTTCAAAGACATATATTTATGTAATATACTTTATAAATAAAATACTCATATGTAACTAAGAGGATAGAAATAAAAGCAATAAGAGATAGATTTTTAAAATAACATATTTTTTTAATAACTATCGGAAAGTACAAAGAATCTATAGCTGGAATCTTGAATTAAAGCTTGACAATAAGAAAGATGTTGATAAAATTGAAGATGGCTTTAATCTTATCTCTATAATTTTAGCTGATAAAGATGCTATGTAAAAGCCATCTAAGATTTATAAGGCTTGTGTAACATATGTTAAAATTATAGAATACTTCCATAATGATTGATTTGGTCCAAAACAAATAAATTATGATGAATTTTTATATCCTCATAGTGCATCTAATGAAACTTATAGATCTAAGTTATATCTAAAAATATTTTGCAAGTTTTTTTACATTTATATTTATATTTTTTTATGCACATAATATATTATTGTTTAAATAAGTACTAATTTTTTTTTCTAATACTA